TATTTATATTTTTTTACACTCACCCGCAAAACGAGGGGCTTTCTTTTCAGCTCAGGGCGAGTGGAAGGGGAAATCTTATCAGATGGGGAGATTAGATTAGCGGAGATCGATCATGGGATTGAATCGGTGAGTGGCTGTACTACTCCATACGAGTACCACCCTTGACTTGGGTGGCTCTTGTGTTGGGGAGGCTTCACCGACGGGGACTCCTGTGATGTGCCTCTTGTGCTACATACTTCGGTTTCCACTGTCTTCTAGAGTTGGTATCGCATTGAATCTTTTCTGCTGGCCACGAGGGCGCATGTCCGTGTGCATCATTCACACAGTATTTACTGTATTGGGAGTTGAATGCATAAACAGCGATTGCTTGTTTGCTGGTGAATCGCATATGATTTGCTAACCTTACATACATTCCACACACCTGCAATGCTTTACTACCCGACAGCAAACTCGACGAGAAGGCAGGATTGGATGCAGGCATTGGGCCAGCATGCGCATGAGCTGCCGAGGAGGAAAAGAAACGACCGACTTCGGGGGGGGGAGGCGACCCGACTCCGCAAAAGGGGAGCGAATGAATGGCACGCAGAGATTAGATGGGATTGATAAGATGAATCAGATAATTTTTTTTCTTGGGGGGCCACCCGCGCAGGAAAAGATGGGGGCGCCATTGCGGTTGGGCAACCGAGGCAGCCCCCCCCCTCTCTCCTCTCCCCCATGCTTCACTGCGACCTTATGCTGGCTACGCTATTTGGGTCTTTGGGCTGGTATGCATCATTGGGAATGGCGTGAGAGAGGTGCTGGTTTGCGTAACGCAAAATGGGAAACGTGACAATTGTTGCTCGCTTCCAATTTACTCTGCTTGCTGAAGTCGAGACAATGGGAGGGTTTGACGAGGTGAATCAATTCGCTGAAGCGGGCAATTGACCGTGTTGTACTCCGTATTATCACCTCCCTTGTCCTTGAAGCCTGGGGTTTACTCTTTGTGAATCGTCCTCGTCGGGACAAGAAGATGTAAAAAGGCGCAACTTGTTTGTTGAGGACCTGCCAGGAAGGGCATGTACCGTGAAGCGGGCCCGGAGCGGCGCAACTTGAAAAGTCGGCTACCTGTAGTCAGCCAGATTGGCAATTCGTAATTCGACCAACCCTGAAGCATTTCGATTTGCTCGAAACTGCAGGAACTGCTTACAGTTGTTGAGTTGGTTGTCATCCATGTACGAGTAGTAGTACAGTAATACTAATAAGTTGACAGACAGTGCGGCATGCATGCATGCATGTCTTGGAATGGATGGACGTACATACATGCTACACACAAACACATGCATGCCGTCATTGATTGATAACGATTGCTAACAGCCTCTCGTGTCTTGTTCTGACGCAACTCGCCCACTGTGCAACAGATGATTGCGGCCACCCAACAACCAAACAGACTCCGTGCCATTCCCAGCGGTTTATCAATCAGCCAGTAATCAATCAATCAATAAGTCAGAACCATCAAAGCCGGCGTCCCTCATTATTCAATGAACTCACTGGTGGCGCTCTGCCACGCTCCAGTCATCGGAGCCCGGCCCCCACCGCAGCCAATCAGCGCCTCGGGGGCAACCGGGCCACAAGGGCTTTGGCTGTCCCAATGGCAAATTTCACGTTGAATGAGAAAGAGGAAAAAGCTGGCTTCGGCGGGTCTGTGTGGCTCCGTAGACGGCCGATGTTGGGGGTTCAGGTCAAAAGAGAGCGCAGATGCATGGATCCGATCGGCTGTGTGTGGCTGTCATAGTTTATTACCTACTGTTACTGTACCAGCTGGTGGTGCGTTTGGTTCCCCAGAAAAGCCTCGGGTAGCCGTACTCGGGTTTCTGCCCTTTTCTTCCTGCTCTTTCTCTTCATGTTCTCTCGCTCACCCTTAACCTTTTCGACATCAAACCACCCGATCCCGATCCTCGTACGACTCAGCAGTCGAGTCTTGCCCCGTGAGCTGTGCACCGCTGCCGCGCACGGATCCAATTCGCCTGCATTCTCCTAAATTCAGCCTCCTTTGCCCCGGTTTTGGACGATCTCAGGCTTGCTCATGCTACCGTTGGCGGACTTGGCCGAACAGACCTCGCCTCTCTGATCCCTCGACCTCTCCATACCTACTCAACAACTGCTATTTCTCCTTTCCTCTATTCTCATTTCCCATTCTCTTTTCAATTCTCAACCAAACGAATCTCGCTTTTCTTCCACTTCACACAATCGCACAAAAGAGCATGATGCAGTCTGTGCGAATGCAGAACCTGTCCCTCGGGACAAACGAGGGCATGCCCACAACGCCCAAGGCAGAGTCAATTGCTCCGTCGTTGACCTACTCGGACGAGTCAGACGACCAGGACGAGCCCCTTCGAGCCGAGCAGCCTCGCCAGCGACGCGCCTCCACAAGGCTGATTGCCCAGAATGCCCGCGACATCCAGCGCATCACGGGCGAGACGACCGCCGAGTTTGTTACTCGCTGCTGCGGCGGGGGCTGCTGCTTGATGGGCGGGGCGAGGCCGGCCGGCATCGAGTACGAATCCGTCCCGTTGCCCGATAACGAGGCGTTCCGGTCCCTCGGCCTCAAGATTGGCGACATCCCAAAGGTCCTGACCAACATTGTCGACCTCCCGGAGAAGAAGATCTCCTTCAGCTCAGTCCCCAAGGCCCCGAGCCCGTCCTCTCCCACGGATTCTGCGATTTCTCTCGAGCGTGACGGCAGCGATGTCGACAGCGGCAACAACCTCGGCCGGATGGCCATCGACAAGCTCCAGACCGTGGACACCACCATTCAGCCGCCGCGATTCGTTCAGCCTCATCCTCCGTACAACGTTTATGCGGCCAAGATCCACACAGCGCGCGAGCTGACCAAAGCTGGCGCCGAGAAGCGCACCTACCACTTTGACCTGGACATCACCGACTATCCCGACGAGGAAAACACCGATTTCAAGGTTGGCGGTGCCATTGGCGTCGTTGCCCCCAACTCCGAGGCCGTTGTGGAGGATGTCCTGGACGCCCTGATGGTGCCGCGCTTCCTGCGAGACAAGCCGGTGCTGTTGAAGACGACGGGCGGGCGCTGGCCTACCGTCTGGGGAGACGACAAGCCGCGCGAGCTCGTCACCACGCGCCGGGATCTGCTTACCTGGTGCGCGGACCTGCAGTCGTATCCACCCACCAAGGCATTGCTGCGAGTGCTGGCCGAGCACGCAACCGCCGACAATGAGAAGAAGATTCTCAACTTCCTTTGCGCCGCAGAGGGGCAGGGTGCTTTTTGCGACTTCCGATCCGGCCCCAGTGTCACCGTTTCCCAGCTGCTGCACGCCTTCCCCAGCTCCCACCCGCCTCTGGACGAGCTGCTGTCGACGCTGCAGCAGCTCATGCCGCGCTTCTACTCCCTCTCCAACGACCCGCACGAGTCCTTCCAGAGGGGCGACCAGAAGCAGCACCGCCTGATCGAGATAGCCGTCACGGTGCACGAGACGGGCGACTGGCGGGAGGGTTCTCGCACCGGCGTGGGGTCCGGCTTCTTTGAGCGACAGGCGCGCAAGTTCATCGAGGCCCAAAAGGCCGGGGAGAAGGCGGAGTTTTACATTCCCATGTTCAAGGGTCTGATGGCGAACCCCCTGGCCAGGCAGTTCAACGCCGAAGGCCCGATGCTGCTGATTGGAGCCGGCGTGGGCATCGCCCCGTTCCGCGGCTTCGTGCAGCGCCGCCTGAAGCAGGCCAACTGCGCCAACAAGGTGTGGGTGCTGCAGGGCATCCGCGACTCGCTGCTGGACGAGATCTACAGCGGCGAATGGGGCGTCCACGAGGAGGAGGTCAAGCGCGTGGTGCAGAGCCGCCGCGGCGAGGGCAGGTACGTGCAGGAGGAGGTGCGGAACCAGGCCGACCTCGTCTGGAGCATCGTCAACGCCGTCGACGGCCGCATCTTTGTCTGCGGCAGCTCAAAGGGCATGGGCGAGGGCGTCGAGGAGGCGCTCGTCGACGTCGCCATGGCCAAGGGCAACCTCGAGCGCGAAGAGGCGCGGAATTACTGGCAGCTCAAGAAGGAGGCTGGCCAGTACATTGCCGAGACGTGGTAGATGTCTTTTTTTCTCTTCTCTTTTTCTTTTGACACGCTTTTGAGCGTCTTCATCTACAGTTGTCACATGCTCTTTCAACCAACCCAGAAGACGAAGCACAAAAAAAGGGGAAAAGGAATAAATGGTCACGCAAGTCCCCGCGGATCCGGAGCGCGAGCACCTGGAGGATGCACGTATTGGGGAAGACGAAGCATTACGGGAGTTGGAGTTGGTCTTGGGAAATGATTTGGTACTTTGGATGCATGCTGCATGCCTGGGATACTGGGGAAGGGGGCATATACAAGAAATGCATTGGGCTCCCTCGTCGTTTCTGAGAGGGGGTCAGTGGGCGTATCGGGTATTGCATTTGTTTTGAGTAGAGGTACCTTTAGCCTCTTGTTAATTCACGTATATGGGTTGGACCTCACAGAGGAGCAAAGGATCATGTTTGACTGTCGTCTATGAGGATCGGAGTGCTCAGTTGTGCACATGGTTGAAGCAGTTTACCTGACTTGTGGGTATGACGAATACAATTCAAGTAGCAGACAAAACAAAAACATCATATCTCGTTGAAGACCCGAAAAGAGACAGAGCGTCCACGCCACAGTCCACCGATAAGATGCATCCAAACGTCGTAGTAGTAAGTCATTAATCAATCCGAGCACCGGCCATCACCTTCGGTAGACGACGCTGATCCGGCCGGCAGCCGCCAATCCACAATTCCCAGCTCCGCGGCTTCTCGAGAAACAAGGACGAGAGAAAATCACAAACAACATGTCTTTACGGAGCTGTTACAAAGAAGGGGGGACTGCCGATACTACCAGGAATATCTGTCTACGCATGAGTGGTACATACTGGGTAAGTGGTACGATGTGCGTGTAAGTGGGTGTTTTTGTCTTTTTTAATTCCGGCGCTCCGGAGTTCGATGGTGCGCCGGCGACGGGGGGGGCGGGATGGGAGTGCCGGGGGGGTTGGGATAAGAGCGAGAAGCGAGTTGATGGAGAGGGAAAACGGATGATTGTCGGGTTGGAGACTCGGGAGTTGGGGAGTAGGATACACGTATCTGACTTGATGAAAGATGCTAAAGTTGAGGTAATTTCAGGGACTTGTGCTGAAGAGACGGGAGGAGACTGGAGTGAGTGGTTGTCTGGGTCTTGTGATGGATATTGCGTGATGCTACGTTAGGTGAACTGGCGACATTATCCTAAGCGAAGCTGCGAAGCAGCTAAGCGCAGGGATTACTAGAGAGTTACTGCTTCTTAGCTTCACTTAGTTATTTAATTAACGATTTCCTAAGCGCTAGGGAAGTTAAAAAAAAAGTTATATAGCAATTAGTTATTTTTGCTTTATTAACCGCTTTTAAAGGTATTTAAGACTCCTAGTTATAGTGTTTTTATAAGGTTAAAGTTAGTATTATAATATTATAATTATAAAGTCCTGAGATCCCTTAATATCTATATACTTTATTAATATTATAAATTGTTAGATTATGTATATATAGTCTAGAGTATTATAATAATATTAGTACTAGATAAATTAGCATTATTTAAGTATTTAAATAATACTAATCTTGTCTTTTATAAATGCCTAAAATAAGAGGGAAAATGCCTTAAGCAGACATCTTAAATAATATCTCTAGAAGTTAACTAATAAGTATTGCTAATTTTAGTTATATAACTATATAAGCCTAGTAATATATATAACCTATACTATATGTTTATAACGCTTAGGTAGTAACCTATATATATTATATTTATAAATATATTTTTCTTTTAAATCTTACCTTAATTAAGACTTTTAACCTTTAGCCTTCTTAAGTATTTATTATAGTATTATTAATAGTATTATTAATAGTATTATTAATAGTATTATTAATAGCTCTTGCTACTGCTATAGCTTCTGCTGCTATAGCACCTCCTCTACTACTATTACCTAAAGATCCTAGTCTTATACTTTTTAAAAATGCTTTTAACATTCTTATATATAAGTGCACTTACTATTTATAGTTTAAGCATAATAATAAATTTATTAATTTAAAGAAGCCTAAAGGCCCCCTTATAGGCAAATGCCTAAACTGCTGCTAATAGCAGAAAGCTAATAAAAAGCTATTTACTAAATAATATATTTATTCTTTACTTCTCTCTCTTATAGCTATTACTAACCTTACTATAGATCTCTTAAGCTATAAGGTTATTCTCTAGCTTAAGTAAATAAGTTATTTCTAATGTCTAGTTGCTTAAGCAGGCCTAGTAGTATAAAGTTCTCCCCCTTTAGCAGCTATAGCCTATTACCCCTTATATTATTAGTCTTGCTAGTCTCTTACTTCCTTATATGCCTAGGTTACTTTCTTATATTAGTAGCCTAGTATAGTTCTTTTATTAAGGCATAAACCTTAATAATACTTTTTAAGAATAAGATATATATTAAGAGCAGGCGTTAATTTAATATAAGCATTATATAGCTTAGCATGCTAAGGAGGTTCTCTCTTTAACCTTAATAACCTCTTAATTAATAGCTATATCCTAACCTTCCTAGTCTAATACTTAAGATAATAAGTATTATAACTTTTTCTTTTACTATTTATACTAGCTTTTTAGGCCTTTATTTACTTATAATCCTGCTTATAATGCTTATATTTATTATATTAACGCTCTTAAAAATGCAGATACTAGGCACTAGATATATTTTTATTATAGTTAGATATATTTATAATTTTACTTTCTTATAGCGCTAGGTAATAAACAGTCTTTTTACTAAGCATGTAGTAAAGCAAGCTAATTTAGTTAACCTAGTTAACTTAGCTAATATAGCTATTATTTAGAACTGTCTCTCTTTAAGGGCAGGTATAATTTAAATATATCTTTTTTATAATAAACGCTTTTTTTTTAACACTCCTAGGGCTATAAGATAATGCCTATAGCTACTATTTAAGAGCTAGTTAAGCTAGACATTCCCTTTAAGGGCAACCTTAGCGCTATTACTTTAACACTATCTAACTAGTATCTTATTAGCACCTAGCAGGCATAATTAAATAAGCACTAAATAAAGCTTTACCCTTAATATTAAACTAGGTGGTTTAGCTAATGTCTTATAAGCAGCATTTACTACTACTGCTAAGAAAAGGATATAACTTACTGCCTTAATAAACTACACTTCTATTCTACTAAGAATAACCTTAATTTTAAAAATATACTAACTTATCTCTTAAAGCTATTCTAGGTTAAGGAGATGCTTATTATATATATTTATATCTATATATAGATATTCTAGTACTATAAGTAATAGTATAAGTATTAAGGGCATATAATTAGTTTCTTATATAATACTAAAAGCATATATATATAACTGCTATTACTTCCTTTAAACCTTAATATAATTATCTTATAGCCTATTAATAAGATAGACTAAGTATATATAGTATAGTAATTTAAAAAGCAGTTCTATATATGCTAGTATTATATTTAATAATAGCTAATATTCTTAAAAAAGCATTATCCTAGCTATAGAGATATCTTAATTAATAAAAAGCAGCTTAGCTAGCTTTTAGTAAATAGAGATATTTCTTAAGATATCTTAAACTATTACTAAGCTAAAGTTAATATTAAAAAAGTAGTAGCTAATAAGAATCTGCCTAATAGTAATAATTTTAATATTACTGCTATGCTTAACCTTATTATAGCCTAGGCTAACCTTAATTAGCTTTATATAAAGCTAGAGGGTTAGGCCTAAGCACCTTTTAAGTAAATCCCTCTCTAACTATCCTAGCATGCATTTTTATAGTTATTATAGCAGCAGTAGCCTTACTTATAAATGCCTAATATTTAGTTAACCCTTTTAAGCAAGTTTAATAAATTACAGCCTCTGTTATTCTTTATATTTCTAACTCTTTTTCTAAAAGGTTAGGCTAACTTTATCTAGCCTTATATATGCCTTATTACCTACTAGCAGTACCTTACTCTTACTATAAGGTAGTATAATAGCTATTTTACTTAGTATCTGCAGTTTTATTATATTAGGTTTAATATATATATGCATTTCTTTATAAATACCTGCAGCTTTTTTTTTATTAAGAGGCCTGGCTAGGCAGCTTAGTATATGCTTATAGTAGATAATATTTAAGCAGTATTTAATAATAACACTCTTAATACCTAGGCCTTGCTAAACTTTATTATTTACTACTTAGGCAGCCTTTAAGGCACCTGCCCTTACTAAAGCAGTAAGAGGCAGGCCTTAAAGGTAATAGTATATGCCCTAGGCTGTCCTAGCACCTTCTTAATATTTTCTATAGTAAATAACTACTAGGAGAGTCTTTAACGCTATATGCCTTATTACTAAGCATAGTAAATAGCCTTTAATTAAGATAAGATTAAGATTTTAATATAGAACCTTAAAGATAACCTTTATATTATAGCCTATTATTTTAACTTCTAGTTTAAGACTTTCTTATAGATTATTATTCTCCTTAAGCTATAGATATTAAAATATTAGTATTACTATAAGTAGCAGGCTTATAACAGTATTTATATTTATAGGCTGTACTAGACTAAGGATAGCCTAAAGGTTAATCTCTTTAATATAGCTAATTATTAAGCGTTTACTAATTATTAAGGGCTATTTATAAGCGCTTTTAATCCTTAACCTAAGCGCGCTAATCTGCATAAAGAGGGTAACCCTTTAGCTTATAGGTAATAAGAGCTAATATTTTAGCTTCTTTTAGATATTATTAATATTATATAAGTTTATAAGTGCTTTAAGGCATATTGCCTTTACTGCTGCTAGCTCCTTAATAGCAGGCTTATAAATAGTAAAGTCTACTAGTTTTATTTCCCTTATACTTTTTATAAAGGCCCTATTTTAATATATAATTTTAATCTTATTTACCTTATATTTAATAGCATATATAATAATATAAGGTTAAATAATTATAATTACCTTTTTACTATTATATAGCTTACTAACTATAATATCTCTCTTACTGTAAGTTCTTATACTATCCTCTCCTATATTATAAAGTATATTAG